CCCACTACCCAGTGATGCCAGTGCCAAAATCGAGACCCCACTACTGTCCAGTGCATTGACAGTCCAATGAAGCTGTTCCTTACCACCTGGTCTCCCATCAGTGCCTGTTTCTGGGCCTGTCCCTGGACCTTCTACAGGCTGAGTTTGTACTGTAAGATGTTGACTCTGAGGTCCGTCACCTCTAGGACCATACGGTGTCACCCACATGTTGTACTGTGTGTCTGGAGACACTCCTCGCAAGATGTATGTACGATCAGGTGGGTTGCCCATGTTCACAGTTTGTGGTGAACTGTCTCCTGGCTTCTGATATTGTAACTTGTAACCAGCTATTGTGTCGGTTGGGTTAGTTGGAGGTTGCCACTCCACACGAATGTTGTAAGGATCTACAGGTTGTCCAGTAAGTCCCACTGGAGCACCAGGGTTGACAACTTCTTGTCCTTTAATGTAGATGGTTTAAATATTATCCATCACTATCAAAAAAGATTCCTATTAAATGGATTCTACTCAATAGCAGATTCATAAGAAGTACTTTTCCATCATAGAACTTTCATGGCAATAATATTATGCAAGGTATGCACATTCATTCACTGATCTATTGTGAGAACCGAAGAAGACAAACTGCTGTGACTAGCATATAAAATGCAAAGGACAAAGCAACTTTCAAAGCAGCAGCCAATGCCCCATTGTGTAGGAGGTTGAAGTGGAATGTGTAAACAGAGGGGTGTAGGATGTCTGCAATTCTGTAAAGCAAGGCAAGATGTCCTGTCTGTGTATAAGCATTGCCTGTTCCATAGTGATGCTTGTCTGTCCATGACTGAACATGATGACTATATCTATATGATTGTGACCCCAATGTTCTGTGATGTCAGTGCCAAAATGTGATCCCGATGTCCAGTGATGATGTCAGTGCCAAAATGTTATCCCACTGTCCAGTGCCAATGAAGATGTTCCTTACCACCTGGTCTCCCATCAGTCCCTGGACCTTCTACAGGCTGAGTTTGTACTGTAAGATGTTGACTCTGAGGTCCATCACCTCTAGGACCATACGGTGTCACCCACATGTTGTACTGTGTGTCTGGAGACACTCCTCGCAAGATATATGTACGATCAGGTGGGTTGCCCATGTTGACAGTTTGTGGGTATATGTCTCCTGGCTTCTGATATTGCAGTTTGTACCCTTGGATGTCATCCGTAGGGTTAGTTGGAGGTTGCCACTGCAGACGGATATTGTAAGGGTCTACAGGTTGTCCACTAACTCCTATTGGAGCACCAGGGTTGACAACATCTTGTCCTTCAATGTAGATGAATGTATTAATTGTCATAACAAAGATACTTGTTAGGTAGATTCTATTCAACAGCAGATTGAAAATAACTTCTCCAAGATCTGACAGGACTTGTGTACAAACAGTTGAAAAATGTCAACTACTGGTAAATGCAAATCCCAGACCATGGCCAGTATACTGTATATGCACAATCATATGAACTACTAAAGAAAAAGTTCTTGTGATATGAAAATACATCAGACTAACTGAAGCAACATTCAAAGAAGCTGCTGCAACATACATGTGTATATATAAGTGCTGAAGATCAAAGTGTGCTTGTCAGCAAATGCTGTCTCCTCCTGTCTGTGCATACTCCTGTTGGTGCATGTGTTCCAAAGTGATGTCTGATTGTCCAAATGCTGTGATTGTGAATGAACCTGTGACATCATTGACGACTATGTCTACATGATTATGAACCCACTGTCCAGTGATGTCAGTGCCAAAATGAGATCCCATTGTGTCATGTCATGTCAGTGACCCAATTGTCCAGTGCCAATGAAGCTGTTCCTTACCACCTGGTCTCCCCTCAGTGCCAGTCCCTGGACCTTCTACAGGCTGAGTTTGTACTGTAAGATGTTGACTCTGAGGTCCATCACCTCTAGGACCATACGGTGTCACCCACATGTTGTACTGTGTGTCTGGAGACACTCCTCGTAAGACGTATGTACGATCAGGTGGGTTGCCCATGTTCACAGTTTGTGGGGAACTGTCTCCTGGCTTCTGATATTGCAACTTGTACCCATAGATGTCGTCAGTTGGGTTAGTTGGAGGTTGCCACTGCAGACGGATGTTGTAAGGATCTACAGGTTGTCCACTAACTCCAATTGGAGCACCAGGGTTGACAACTTCTTGTCCTTAAAATGCAGATGATTGTATCATTTGTCATGACAAAGATACCTGTTAGGTAGATTCCACCAAAGAACTGACAGGACTTGTGTACAAGCCTTTGAGAAATGTCAGCTAAATGCAAATTCCATACCAGTATAAGTTGTTTGTGCACAATCATATTTTGTACTAAAGAAAGCAAACTCTTGTGAGACACAAGACTACAAAAAAAAACATGTAACTAAAGCAACATTCAAAGAAGCTGCTAGAAGAGCAAAGAGTACTTGTCAGCAAATGTTGTCTCCTGCTGTCTGTGCAAGTGTTCAAATGTGATGAGTGGCTGTCCAAATGCTGTGAAAGAACCTATCATATTATTGACTTACTGTCTTACCATATGGACTAAGTCTACATGGATGGTTATGATCCCACTATCCAGTGATGTCAGTGCCAAAATGAGATACCTCTGTCCAGTGATGTCAGTGGCAAAATGAGATCTCACTGTCCAGTGCCAATGAAGCTGTTCCTTACCACCTGGTCTCCCATCAGTGCCTGTTCCTGGGCCGGTCTCTGGACCTTCTACAGGCTGAGTTTGTACTGTAAGATGTTGACTCTGAGGTCCGTCACCTCTAGGACCATACGGTGTCACCCACATGTTGTACTGTGTGTCTGGAGACACTCCTCGTAAGACGTATGTACGATCAGGTGGGTTGCCCATGTTCACAGTTTGTGGGGAACTGTCTCCTGGCTTCTGATATTGCAATTTGTACCCTTGGATGTTATCTGTAGGGTTAGTTGGAGGTTGCCACTGCAGACGGATGTTGTAAGGATCTACAGGTTGTCCACTAACTCCAATTGGAGCACCAGGGTTGACAACTTCTTGTCCTTAAAATGCAGATGATTATATCATTTGTCATGACAAAGATACCTGGTAGGTAGATTCTATTCAACAGCAAACTGAAAAGAACTACTTCTCCACCAAAGAACTGACAGGACTTGTGTACAAGCCTTTGAGAAATGTCAGCTAAATGCAAATTCCATACCAGTATAAGTTGTTTGTGCACAATCATATTTTGTACTAAAGAAAGCAAACTCTTGTGAGACACAAGACTACAAAAAAACATGTAACTAAAGCAACATTCAAAGAAGCTGCAGAAGAGCAAAGAGTACTTGTCAGCAAATGTTGTCTCCTGCTGTCTGTGCAAGTGTTCCAATGTGATGAGTGGCTGTCCAAATGCTGTGAAGGAACCTATCATATTATTGACTTACTCAAGTTACTGTCTTACTATATGGACCAAGTCTAAGGATGGATATGATCCCACTATCCAGTGATGTCAGTGCCAAAATGAGATACCTCTGTCCAGTGATGTCAGTGCCAAAATGTAATCTCACTGTCCAGTGCCAATGAAGCTGTTCCTTACCACCTGGTCTCCAATCAGTGCCTGTTCCTGGGCCAGTCCCTGGACCTTCTACAGGCTGAGTTTGTACTGTAAGATGTTGACTCTGAGGTCCGTCACCTCTAGGACCATACGGAGTCACCCACATGTTGTACTGTGTGTCTGGAGACACTTCTCGCAGGATATATGTACGATCAGGTGGGTTGCCCATGTTCACAGTTTGTGGGTATCTGTCTCCTGGCTTCTGGTACTGCAGTTTGTACCCTTGGATGTCATCTGTAGGGTTAGTGGGAGGTTGCCATTCCACACGAATGTTGTAAGGATCTACAGGTTGTCCACTCAATCCCACAGGAGCACCTGGGTTGATGGTGTTTTGTTAAGTAGATAATTTTATCATTAACACTAGTATCTAAAATTCCTATTAGACAGATTCTACTAGACATCAGATGGAACAAAAGTGCTCATGCTGGAAATATAAAGAAACCTGACAGAGTGAGTGGTGGAGTATTCAACGGAAGAATTTCTCTGTGCAACTCTGTAATGTAGCTTCTGTGTTTTAGCATTTGTCAATGTGAAAAGCTGAAAACTGTCCGCATCATTGCCATGTTTGTGTTGACACGAAGACTGCCACAATTGTGTGGACACTGCGCAAGACTCGCAAAAGTACGTCATGTAGCTGTGAGCAATGTGCAGCACAACTGTGAAAGCAACTGCTGTCACTCTGTGTAATGTCATTGTTTTTGTATGAAGAAGGGTACTGCTCTGTGCATGTATGGCCTCGTGTTGCTGTCAAGTGCATCACATACAAGTTTTTATTCGTTTGCTGGCGCTAGTAGAATTCATGTGAAGAAGATGTCATGGTGGATGCCATTGCTCCATCTCCACTTGTTCAGTCTGTGCAAGTGTTGTGTCCTCAGTGGCTGGTTTGTCTGCTCACATGCAGTGAATGTACGTGGACATTGATGATGCAAGATCACGCATGTGAAAATTTTTCCCTTACCACCTGAGTCTTTGTCAGTACCCGTTTCCGGGCGAGGAACAGTCCCACCACCGCCTGCGGCCATCGTGTATACGACGAAACGTTCACTCTGAGGCCCACGACCCCCAGGGCTGTATGGTTCAATCCACATGTTGTACGTCGAGTCTGGAGACACGTTTTGCAAGACGTAGTAAAAGTTCATTGGTTTATTCATGTCAACGTGTTGAAGAGGACCGTCATCTCCCCGCTGGTAGATCAACCTGTACCCGGAAATGACGGCGGATCCGTTGACGGGTGGTTTCCACTGCACAATGGCACTGTAAGGATCCACGGAATGGCCGCGAGCGTCCCGCGGAGGGCTGGGGTCGAATAACTCTGGCCCTTCAAAAGCACACATTTCTGGTCAACAACTGGACAATCAGACAAGTATTTATAAGTATCAATTCAGCTGGTGTACATGTGTGTTGGTGCATGTAACAGTTGTCACAATGTCAACCTCTTACTGTGGCATGTTGCAGAGCATTTAGCTTTCATAAGATATTACATTTTTCTTTTAGAGAAAGTTTTCAGGCCTCTTTGATCCATGTGAAAAATATTCTCTTCATACAAATGGCAAGCAAAAAGCAACAAAGCAGTTGATCTTTGGGTCTCCAAACAAGTGTCATAGCTGTGAGATGCTGAGGTCAAAGATTGATGATGATGAATGTTGTTGTTCCATCTTGAACATTTGTCTTCTCAACCTAAATTGTTCACTCTGTCCTGCTTCCAGACCACTAAAACAGTCATATCTGCTCTGAACCCTGTAGGGAAGCTGATCATACTGTGACCTTGAATGATGTAGGTCAAATTGAGAGGATGGCCCCATGTTAATAGCTTTTGGTGTTCTGTTTCACATTTGCCGATAGAGCCATCAGTAGCCTAGCCTGAAATGTGAAGTATTCTGTGTTTTGGTGAGGGAACCATCCTGTGCTAACACCATATGAGACTATCAGAAGCTTGTTGACTCCCAGTAGAGTGCTTACTGTGTCTAGCCATAAACATATCCTTGAGAACTGAGCACTGGCAAAATACTATAGTGTGCTGGTTTTCTGTGGAAGTGACCTAGAGTAGTACTGAGTTGGCTTGGGGTTTGCTGCCTAGCCTTGCTCATAAACCTTCCTATAACAAGAGGCAGATGGGAAGTTATATTACAAAGGCAACCGATGTAACTTGAACCCCAAGATATCATGCTTTGCCAAATGCATGGCAAATATCAGACGTATTATGGCCACATACTATGGCTTTTCCAACTTTGTACGAAAGTGGTATCCACTACTAACCAATCAACACCTTACAACTATGGGCAGGTGTATATCTTTTTTTACAATAAGGAAAGTCATTACTATTGACCGTTATTGCTTTCAAACGATTATACAGCATTGCAGGCGCTCCAATGGCTCCTCCTGTGACGTCTGTACCCTACATAAAATCGAAGTGGTGTCAATGGCCTTTCCGTGAGCTGAAACCTTTCTTGACCTCAAAACAGACAGTAAAACCTGCTCAAACAGCTCTGTTTATCGGTTACCCGGTGCTGTGTGAAACGAGCAGGGTGGGTTTGGCTTCTGTTGGGGGCCGTTGTATTTGGAACTTTGTCAGTATTCATTTCTGGAGGACTGGAAATGCTTGTATGCCTTCTTACATGGATAGGATAGAAAGTAAGGTATAACGTTTGCATAATTTGGGTATAAAAAGTAATTGGTGTAACAACATTGACATGGAGAGAAAAGGGAAATGAAGATTTCCATCCCACTGAATTCTGTTGAACTCAAACTCCTTATGTTGGTTGCTATGTTGGGTGATTCCGCGTTCTGTATTCCTGCATTCCTGCACGATGTAACGTTACACCTGCTAAGAGTTAAGATGAGGAAAGAGACCCTAAAATGAAAAGCATATTTAGTGCACCATGTAATACGCAGAAAATAAGAAAATTCATGCAAAGACATTCATGACCAAATCAAGTCAGGTAATCACCTCCGAAGTATACTCTCGTATTAGTACGGAGTCTCTGCATGTTGTCATCCTGGCGCATACTATAATGTTGACAACGATGAGCAAAGACAGGGCAATGTATGCGCAACGCGATTATGTCCTACGATATAATGTAAACGTGGCGTTGCACAAAGAAGGCGCTTCCCGTACAATTGTTTCCTGTGGAAAAAAGGGAATGCAAGAACCTGCACATCTCCAAGCGTCGCGCGTACGTCTATCGTTCATTGTGCTTACCTTTCGTGGCGACCTCCACCACGTCGCTGGGTTCGCCTCTGCCCTTGGCGTTGACTCCGGACACGCGGAACTGGTACTCCGTGGCGGAGGCCAGGCCCGTCACCGTGTAGCCGGGCTCGAACACCTCGATCTCGTTCCAGCCGTTGAGCTCGTTGGTGCGGCGGTACTCCAGGAGGTAGTTGTCCACGTAGTCCTCCTCCACCCAGCCGATGAAGACGGAGTTGATGGTGATGTCCCTGGTGAAGACACCCGAGATGGGCGCCGGTACGGTGAGCTCTGCGTGTTGGGAACATGAGAACAACTCAGTTGACACAAGGATATTCTCAAGATTTAAGTGACCAACTTAGACTCAAAGCAGCTGGTCATCTTGTAAAGTACTACGTTCTATCAATAACGTCTCTGGAGCTGACTTGAAGTTCAAAATCATATATACGTCTCGCAATCGTGAAAGTGTTCACACGATATAGGTATAGCTTGCTTTGGTTGGCCCAAAGAAGTTTCGACAGTAGATTTTTTCCAATAAAAGACCTGCTTGTTGGATTTCTTTAACGAGCATATGAACTTTGTCCAAATATCAGACAGGTTAATGTCAACACATGTACATTGATTGATATCTTGTTTTTCTGTTCAGAGAGACATTGACAAATCTAAGAACTATATATATACTCCAGGAAAGTGCGTAGAAGGGTACTGTATGACATCCAGTCGCGTAGTGTTTATTTTCGTTCAAGACGTGGAACAGATACGTGGCAACTGAGACGATAAGCATGCTAACGGCACTCGAGAAATATTGAGAAACTCTCTGTGTGGCCACTTGTCACACTTGTCCTTACCAACAGTTCACTGGGTACATGTATCCCCATGTGAACTCTACTGAGCTACACACGTGGCTCTGGGACAGCCCAGTTTCGTCATCAGAAGCCTGACATGCTCTATGCATGGGTGGGCTCTGTTGAATTGAAGCGATGTCACCATCGAACCAAACATGCACAAATTTAGCTCTCATTAATCAATTACTACGAACGAAGAGCATTTGTCTTGTTGACGTGTGACGTTACTCACTAGGGGTCAGGACATCATAGAGGCTGCGACCCATGCACCTGTTGTGCATGTGACAGGTTCAAGTGGGTGTTTTGTTGTATTTTATTACATTTGGACAAACCGAAGAGGGATCTTCTGTCCACAACATGTATTTATGGCCATGAAAGTGCTGAATGGCCGCTGGCAATACTACATCTAACTGTAGAGATTGTAACATCACCGAAAAAACGAGCTTGAATGGAAAACGAATCTCTGGTAGAAAAAGGTGCTAAAATGGAAAAAGTGTACAAATTAACGATAGAGGATACGTTTCCGAGTATTCATTTCTATAATTGGCTACATCATTTATAGAGTATGTCAGCTTACTCATGACCTTCATCAAAGGTCAATCTAACCCCACAGACATTGTTTAGATCTGTTTATAGCTACTGGGCTGCGGTGTGGTCTGAGGAACAAGTCAAGTGCTACTAACGGTACCTCCAACTGATTTATACTGATACTGCCGTCTCGAGACTAGCGAAAACTGCCGGAATGAGTGGTTTTTTTTACACCCTTTTGGCTTCGGGTGACCGAGATTCTGCCCTTTAGCTTACTAGCTGAGCGAGTCCTAAATTCCATGGCAATCAATTGTCGCTCCCGTATAGTACTGGTACCATGGCCCTACAGACTGGCCCTACTGTCACTCCGTCCTCATCTTACCCCGGTTGTCACTGCCCAGCGGGGGACCGAGATTGTGTCTCAATTCCTAGCCGTGTCTGATTCCAGGCCCTGATCCCGCCTTATTGGTATTAATGATAACAAAACAGGCAGGCCGTCCATCAGGGGGATCAGTGGCCGTGCTGGCGGTACGGGCCGTGGGCATGTGGCACATGTTGGTGGGATTTTCAGGGGATAAACACCCACAGAGAAGGATATTTGAGAGACCTACCTGCTGCGCAGTTCTCGCCAAAGTAGCCGGGCTCGCACTGGCACACGCCGTCGACACAAACACCTCTGCCGAAACAGTCGTTGGGGCAGCTGGGTGAAGAGCAATCCGGGCCGGTAAAGGCAGGCTCGCACTGGCAGACTCCGTCGACACATACTCCCCTGCCCATGCAGTTACCTGGGCACGAACGGGACGTACAGGTGGGGCCTTCGAACCCTGGCTCGCACTGGCACACGCCATCCACGCAGCGGCCGCGGTCCCCACAGTCGGGCACACACGCTCTCTGCGAACAATCGGCCCCGGTAAATCCAGGTTTACAGACGCAGACGCCGTTGACGCAGTCGCCGCGGTCCTTGCAGTTGTCAGGACAGGCACGCTCCGAGCAGTCGTCACCTGTGAAGCCCTCGTCGCACACACACCTGCCGTTCACGCATTTCCCGTACTTGCACGTCGGGTCGCAAACGCCGGGCTGGCCCTGTGCTCCGACGCATCCACATGACTGCTTGAACTGCTCGAACTCCTTCAGCAGCTCCGCGAGTTGCTTCTTGAGATCCTCCGTGCTTTCCTGCAGAGCCGTGACCAGAGATCCCGTCTCCCCGTTCAACAAATCCCCGCCGGCTCCGCCGCCGTTGTTGTTGCAGCATCCTCCGCTTCCACCGCCTGGCACGAAGGTGTTGGCGAGGAACGGCGCGCCGTCGCCGCCCTCTCCCACCTCCACCGTGCCCGACGTTTTCGTCACCTGCCCGTCGGCGCCGCCTCTGGCGCACAGCACCGGCGGCACGTTGATGTTGTAAACATGGTTGAAGACCATCCCACCGGCGGGGGTGTTGACGCTAGCAGTAGAGATGATCGGCTTGGAAGCGTTCGCCACACTTTGTGAATCCCCCTGAACAGGAACCGTATTCCCGCATCTTAGCAATGTACTCAACAGGACCGCAACAATCGCCGCGTATCCTCCCATGTTGAAGCAGCAGTCTCGAGTTCAAGGAATCCACTGAACACGAAATGATACAAACGTTGGCTTGTGATATCACTCGCAGCACTACAGGTCCATCCAGCCCAGAATGGGCATGAATAAGAAATCCTCAGCAGGTGTTTCTGAGCTTCCGTCGGCTTCTGGACTCTATTGGCGAAGACGTCGCAGTTGCCGATGACAGCCCTGGCCTGCGTCTGTGTTGGATTTCTCTACCTGCAGATCAAAGATAGAAGTTTCGTATTAATTCCAGCAGGATGACATTCCACTTGATACAGGTCAATTTGGGTCAACGGGAGAGGGTTAGCGCGCATGGGTAAAGCAGATCCACGTGTAATTTTCCCAAACGACTTACAGGCCTTGGGAAATTTATTGAAGAATCAAGGATCTTAGTCAAGATGGCAAGTCGGGAGCTGGGTCACGGGAAGGGTGCAGTGCGTTGTCGGGATCCGCACCGTTCAGAACAGCATGAAAGTAACAGAATATCGCCTCGTATCTGAAGAAGTTGACCTCGTGCACAGCATGTACAGGGTACACATTTTTACTAACAGGGATTAAGAATTAAGACCAACATTTGACCACGATAATTGTTTGACCAAACCTGATACCGGCCAGGGAACGACACACTTCCCATCACACAGTCGTGTGATTTCCCCCGACGATAACTGTAACCTTACACTTGATCGTAATGAGGCCTTGACAATGACCATGGTGCTATCAAATATCTACAGCAATCCGTTGGGGTTAGGTAATGCCAGACGGAAGAACTGATCCCGGGTTTAACCAGCGCCTGCCTCGTCTCAAATGTGGTACTAGGTAGTCGATCATCATTGAAGACTTTCTGGAATACCCGCGGTGTCTCGTTCATAGGATTAAGATGTACTCACTATCTTTGGCGTGCTTTCCGTGGTTCAATTGAAAGATTCTGTCGGTAAATCCAACTGTTATGGAGCTTGTAATCGCTCCAGTTTTCTGTACAGTACAGGGTTCCGCAAGGACGGAGAATGTACATAGAAGTTTATATGCATTTGACCGTGACCAGATGTATCGTTACATCTAAAATGTCGTTATCGGATCCGTTATCTTTTAAAAGGGATTTGCTTTGAAGTTGAAGGTTACGATGCCTCGTCGATTTTGTCAGAGTAGCAAAAACTATTTTTTAATTGAATAGGTAATTCTTTCTAATTCAGCGGTATTTTCGTCTTGTTGATGATGAGGTGAATAGGGTGTGTCTTCGATAAAGATGGTGGACGATAATTTGTGACATACTTTTTTTTAAGTCACGTAGTCTATGAATAATTTTCAACAGGGATGACCATAGTCCCGTTGAATCAATTAATTTCGCATCACAGAAATCTCGAACGACACGCTTCTTACGTGTAATCTGTTCCACTTTTTCTGAGCACCGAGCTTTTGAAGCAACTCCGAGTTCCCACCGTGTCCGTTCCCATGTGTCCGCGGGCCGTGCAGACATAACAACTCCTGCTCCCAATTTGGTTTCGCCGGCGGTTGCTAGTAAAATATTGGTCTTTTCGCTGACGTGCCGATGATTATTTACAGGTCGGTGTGTGCAGGGCAGCTGGGGGAGGGGGATGATCCTGGCTCGCAGGGCTGCACACCGCGGCAACTACTGTTTGTTTTCGTAGTGTAGACTTGCTCTTGTCGACGTCAATGACACACGTAACGAAGAAAACAAGCCATGGTTTATATTGTGGTCTACATATAGAAACTTATAGTATCATATAACATGGAAAGTTTTTTTTAAGTTAACAAAGCAAAGTTAGGGAGTAAATTTATGATTGCCTTGGCTAGTCTGACGTCAACCCAGAGCTAAATTTTGATGGCGAACTGAATAGCTGATGGCATGACAAGGTTGAAATTACGACGATCAAGCAATCATTCAGTGATACAAAAAAAAAGCACAAGGAAAATATAGCTGTACTCGCGCCGCCAGATGTTCTTTACTCGATGGATCGCTGAAGGCGAAGTAGACACTTTTTAGAAGGAAATTAGCTATGACGGTTTTCCGTCATTAACGACAGAACTGCTGTACAGATGTCTCTGAGAATCGTGTGTTTCGAAAGTCTTATATTTTCATAATTACTCATAATGAGGGCGCGTTGATGAAAGTACAGTATTTCTTCCCGGGAGCTCCCTGAACATGGAGCTAATTATATCTTATCAAAGCAAAGAAAACGACAGGACAACTCCCGGTCCTTGTCCCAGGGAAAGTATTTTCTTGTATATTTGCAGACAAACAAACATTTTCAGGCGGTTACCATGTCGGTAGGACATAATTGGAAATAGAATACAATGTTAGTATTTGCCTAAAATTCAGCCTTCTTAGTTATGGTCCACTCCCCCGAAAAATTGGAATTTCTAGGAGCGAACCTATAGCTATCAACAACATGGCTGAATTTTAGGCTAGCCTAACCCATGACTCAAGTACACGGGCAATTGGCTACAGGCTACCCATGCAGGAAAAACCCGTTAGAAGTTCCACTACAAACGGTACCTGTGCCTAACGTGTCTTGGCTCATTTTCCAAAAAACAAAATACAATAGATAAAGGTCAAGACTCTCCAAGCAATTAAACAAAACACACCTCCACCACAGCTGTCAACCAACATACAAATATCTACAACAAGACGCTAATGATATGTCAACATTTGTCTACACAATAAGTGAAAGAGCGTTAGGCATGATCTACACATGCCTTTCTATCGCCATGTGTAAAATACTCGATAAGGGCATGAGTAGTATCGCTGTCACCAACTTATGGTAACGTAACAGCGGGATTAGTTCAGCTTAATTTCGAGCTAATTGAAAGTGATTTTCGTGCTTGGCATTCTTGTACAGATAAGCTTGCATAACGGCTAAGCCTGTCCCTAGTCCCTATCCACAGGAGGATCTAAACAAAGCTATGTGAGAAGAGAAGATGTAGTGCAAACTGTCTCCTTGGAATGATTTAACTCCGTCTTTAAGCCGTGGGATTTTCTCCAACAGGTCTGCACTGATAGTGATTGACTTTATGGGGCCACACATAACGAAAGGACCTGCCGACAGCCCGTCTCCTGTGTTGTTAGTACGAGATAGATGTCATTAGAACAGATGTCAAGACGACACAAGATGAAGGGCAGGGGGAACAGGCCTCCTCTATCCCTTTTACTGGCGATAACGTTAACGTGTTGAAGAATATATAAAATACCGTATATATATATTTCTTGCATGACTGACGACTTAACTGTACTCTACTCTTACCCCTCACTTTACCCATTACAGGACATATGGCTAATCCAATATCTACCTCTTTGCCTTTTATTTACGTACTCTGATGCAGGATATGGCAGTTTGGGGTCACAAACTAGAAATTAGAACGCCTAGTATCTACAAGGGAAAAGAAGCCAAGATTGTATTGCAGCGATGTTCGTTTTTTTTTTCTCAGACCACCACACTGTGCTGCTTTTTCCCACGAGAGTCTGTGTTTAGCCAGTTGTTTTCCTTTCATTAAGCCGGACGAGTACAGTTCTGACAAATAATTTATGGACGGGAAGTTTGGCAGCTGTTTTTAGTTTTGGCAAGTCGACTTTGTCTTCTAGAGCCAGCCAATGCTTGTAATCCGGAACTTTGTACTTTTGCCATAATGTGTATGACTTCTTGCCGTCTCTTATTATAGCAGGCGAGGCTCCCCGTGCATAAAAGGTCATAAACTTGACCAGCGCCTTGTACCCGTCAGGGCAGGACAACAAACCCATCATCTGAGCCACAATGAACGTCCACATGTGAACTAACACTGGTTTTACTGAACTAACACCGCTTCTCTTCTCTTCCGCTCCCACAGGGCGTAGGCTCCAGGCTCATGGCCAAGATGGGCTACCAAATAGGGTGAGTGGGTTCTATTTGTTGTTACCCGCCTTCTGCACGCCGACATTGAACTGTGAAATACCCCCGGACACCGCAAGAGGTCGGAGGGCAAGGATGTCATGTAGAACGCTTGTCGTAACTACTCATCACTGCCAGAAGTGACATTTATATATGCTGTAAAAGTTTATTTATTGCTTATGGTTCTGAATTTAGACGCGTTTTGATGAAGAATATCGTATTCCCTTTTCTCACCTTTAAACAATATTTTAAATGTTTAAAATTCCCATGGTAGAATAGCCGTGATAAAAGGGTTTCTTTCCATGGGATATTATTGTTTTGACCATGAAGCGCACATTTGTTGTGAAAAGTGAAACAAAAATACATAAGCGTCACCAGTCAAAACAAGTCTACGGACATCAAACATGATTTTGTGATAACATACAAGGTACAGGGCACAGAACCCATCTGTCATAACTCTAAAAACGGAAACAACTTATAGTACGTTTACCAAACGTCTGTATAGCCATTGCCACAACGGGTCGTTCTGGCAATGACTATACGGGTATCAAAAAAGGTTAAATGTTGAAGAAACATGCCTGTGGTTTTGATTAAGTTGCACAAATGACAGGCCGACAAGGCCAAACTGCTCATCAGCGATGTAAACAAACAAGTCTCGGGCCTGTTCTCACGGTTGGGCTGTTGACTGACAGATCCGGTTCCCAACACGCGGTGTACCGCTGTGTGCCGTACGGATCTTCACCAGACGCAGACTCTTCTCTTTCAAATTTGCATGCTCTCGGTTGTCTTTTTAGAGCCTTGTGGACAAACAGCGCCATTTCTGACGCGGACGGCAGCACCCCGCTAGATTCCTGCCGTCTGCGGCGCTGATGTTACTTGTCCGCTGCTCTGTTTGCTAATGTCTGCCACCTCATGTTTCCATCTTGTTAAACTTAAAGTTAAGACCTTCGCCCCTCGTGCCATGGGGTAGGAATCGGCTTGGATTAGCTTTTAATGCAGCTTTCTTTATTCTTTTTTTTCTTTATTCGTTTGGCCGTAAAAAGACAGATTGTACGGCCAGGGCAGCCCAACTAGCCAGGTGGCTATTATTAAGGGCTTGCCCTGCCGACAGGACAAACATTGACACGCACGATACAACAATACAATACATTACATTAACGTGGAGAGGTCAGGGTCATACACCTAAGGCTTATAAGGGTCGCCTAGAGAGTCCCATAGCTTCCTTTTAAAGGAGGCAATAGTGGTGGCATTGCGAGCGTCATTGGAGAGAGTGTTCCAGAGTGACGTTGCTCGGTGAAAGAATGTTCTCTGGCCTCTGGTGGTTTTGGCAAGTTCAACAGTCAGGTGGTTGCTGTTCCTGAGGGGATAGCGAGACTCAGTAGCAGATGCACGGGTTCTGGGTATCAGGGTTTGGAGGTGTGGCGGACAGTGGCCGTTAAGGAGCTTGTACAGGGTGGTGACGGTATGGAATCTCCGTCTAAACTGTAGTGATGGAAGGGACAGTTGGGTGTACAAGGTTTGGTAGGAGGGATAAGGGAGTCCATGTTGTCCACTGATCAGTCTGACAGTTTGGTATTGTACAGACTCCAGTTTCCGTTCGTCGCTCTTGGTGAGTCCCGCCCAGACGATGTTGGCATACTCAAGGCCAGGTCGTGTAATGGTCTTATATAGCCTGAGTAGGATGTCACTTGGCACCTTCTTTCTTAGTGCACACAGTAGGCCAGCAGATCGTCTTGACTTGGTGGAAATTGTATCGATGTGCTTGGACCAGGAGAGTGTGTTCGTTAAGGTGACACCTAGATGTTTGTAACAAGCAACAACTTCCAGGGTAGTTCCACCCAGAGTGACTGGTACAAGGGGCCTTGGGATGTTACGAGTTGTGATGTACATCACCTTGCACTTATCCCTGTTTGCTTCGAGTTTCCACTGTGTGAGCCAGTTTGATACAGAGCACAGGTCTCTGTTAAGTGAGGTGACTACACATTGGATTGACCTGTTACTGGTGGACAGTGAAGTATCATCAGCAAACAAGTTAGGAGAACACTGTGTACAACAAGATGTTATGTCGTTGATATACAGGATGAACAGGGTGGGCCCAAGAACGGACCCTTGGGGGACGCCGGCAAGGGGCGATTTCCATTCAGATGTTCCGCCCTGTATGACCACACGTTGTCGCCTTTCGGATAGATAACTGTGGAACCATTGGAGGATAGGTCCGCGTATTCCGTGGGCACATAGTTTGGCAAGGAGACCTTTGTGCCAGACCTTGTCGAAAGCTTTCCTCAGGTCAAGGAAAACACATCCCACGACTTCCCCTCTGTCCATTGCCCTGGTCCATTCATCTACCAGGCGGGCCAGTTGAAGCGTGGTGTTGTCCTTGGTCCTGAATCCGCTCTGGTGCTGGGACAATATCGGAGTGATTTGTTGCATTAGGTATTTATTTACTAGTGTTTCCAGCACTTTTGGGATTGTGTTGAGCAGAGAAATTGGTCTGTAGTTATTTGCATGGTGGCGGTCTCCGGCCTTGTAGATAGGCGTTACATTAGCCTCTTTCCAACCAGAAGGGACTTGTCCGAAGGTAAGTGATGTGTTGAAGAGCCGTGTCAGGGGTGCAGATATGGTGTCTGCTACCTGTCTTAGGAGGTATGGAGTGATATCATCCGGGCCGCATGATTTTCCGGTCTTTAGGGTTTTGAGTTGCTGCCGTACCTCATCTTCAGTCAGTTGGATTGTGTCTAGGATTGTTTCGGGGATAATGCTGGGCTGGAAAGTGGGAGCGGGGTCGTTTCTGTCGTCAAGGTCAGTTTGTTGGATGAAGAAGTTGTTGAGGGCATTTGCTTTGTCCTCAGGTGTTTCTATGATGTCGGCCCCGGCTTGCAGAGCCGGGATGCCGGTGGAGGCCTTGCCTAAGGCAGACTTGGCGAAAGAAAAGAGGCGCCTTGTATTACCACCCTCTACATCTTCTATCACCTCACGGATGTACGTCGCCTCAGCATTTCTGGTGAGCTTAGTGACCAAATTTCTTTTAATGCAGCTTCCATCAATCAGCGTCCCTGTATGGTGGCTATACGGTTACTTTTGGTAAAGTTGGTCATCAGGACTTCAGAAGGCCTTCCCCTGTCCACCCTGGCCCGTCTGTTTCCTATTAAGTTGAAACTTGCAACAGTTCGGTGAGACCGCCCCTCCACCACAGTACCTGCTCCCTAACCTTTTGATCCAGAACTTTGCGGTTCCCGCCCCTGGCTTTAGAGAGAGGGAAAGGGCGATACTACAAAAATAAACCCGTCAAAAAATGTGAAATTGCTCCAAGGGGAAGGGTTGCTTCCTAATTGTGCAAATCGGAGAGTGAGATCTGTGGTAAATGGGCGGGACTGTGCCAGATGGACCGGTAGAACACCCCGGGTACTGTCGGGAGGATCTTCGTGATGTTAACCCGACAAAACCGCAGCTTTTTCCATCACCAGCCTGCAGGCTCCCGCGGCTTTATCTAAAACAGAAGTTTCCTGCTTCTACTCACTGAAGAAACTTTAGTAGCCCGACAGAATGCCTACTAAACGTCCACTATAGAAACCTACGTTGCGTCAAACTTTTACATATCCAGTCAAAACGAAAGTCTAATCCAATCTGTTCAGTAATCTCTACACATGTCACTCCTCTTTCTCGTGAAAGTAAAAGTAGTGGAATGCCCCCTGTGCCGAAAATCCTAATTAGGCATGCTTGTTATCGGCAAATATGCATGTTCAGATTTCGGATGTTACATTGTGTACCGTACATTAAATGCCAGACGATATCAACATTAGGACTAAATCACAGCAATGTAAAGAGTTCGATGTATGCACTATCTACTATCTAGTCGTCACACATGGGACTATTGTCCACTTCCTATCCTTATACATGTACATTATACACACTGGGAAAGGGACGCCCAGAAATTTCCCGCGCTCTACCACAGGACTAGTATGTTCAGGCCAAGCGTCAAGAAGTTCACCCGCCATAAATATCACAACATGCTGTACAGTATATATCATGCCCACCGTATATATCAAGCTCCCAACTACATCTATATTTAGACCAGCACGCTATATTGGCAACGGCATCCTTGAAACAACCTCATACTAGCCACACTGCCAAGCTACAAATTATGAAGGAAACATGCGAGCTCAACAGCCTGTCTGAACAAAACTAAACTCATCTGACACCTTCTCAATGTCCAGATCTCTCATCGTATCAATCAGAGTAGACGAAAGGCATATCAGATAGGTAAACGTGTTGGTCAAAATGACTCGGCACTGTACACAATGTCGAGTGGCTGAAGCCACCCACACATACAAGAGGAAGAAAACTGAACGTTACCCAGAGAATCGTGGCCCCAAACAACTGCAGAGCTGTCCTCCCTCAGCGGAAAACCTGTCCCTTGTATTCCGTACGACTCGCGAGCTTACAGCGGTGGGGTTAGCTAACACTAGTAACGGGGCACGGGAGAACCCCCGAGTGCCTTCCTCTCCCCACGAAGCTCGGCTTCTGTATGATAAATATTCATAGCAGTCTAGGTCAACAAATAGCTGGTGGAGGAAACCAGATCCTCAGGCCGGACCACATGTGCGCCGCACGGGTGTCTCCCCCCTGGCTACGGGGGGACCGGACTCAAATAACCCGTGTCGAGAAATGTGGCCTTTCCGCTAACCTACGGTAAACTGGTCTCGTGTGGATCTTCTGCACTCATTTCCGTCTGATTTATGTATCATCAATCTTCGTTTCTTTTTCCTTGTTCTCTGTAGGAAGGGTCTGGGGAAGCGGGAACAAGGAAGAGTCGAGCCCGTACCTATCGTCATTTTACCGCCAGGTAAGTTCACGTGAAGACTTGGATATCCCCCTCCCCAAAGAAAAAAATACAATACAATGTAGTCATTGACAATAATTGCTAGCGAAAGTGTTATTTTAATCCGGACAGTGAAGCAAAGAAAATGACTTGAAAGCCGATCCTAGATTACACAGACAATAGTCTGCATTGTCTTCCTCATTCCCCATTTTCGGTCCAATCGACGTTTTCTCATGATGGTTGATCAAACACAGGTGATCTGGTGAACGGACCTGACCCCAGGGCCCAAAGGTTGTTTCCTCAGTAACTTCAGACAGGTAGCCGCCAGGTCTTATCGCTGCTACATCATGTCAATCCCTAATTTGTAGCGACACTCGCGAACCCGCGTCCGAAGAAAGTTGCCAGAGCAGAAAGGTCTGGGTCCAGTGTCCAGTAATCGGCTTTGGGGTCGAAAATAAATTGCAAATGGAACAATTAGCTAGCAGAGAAAGTCTAGGTCGTCACTGTGTGAGTCAGTACATGAGCCTTCTCTGGAGCTCTGGTCGCGCGAGATATTCAATCTACTTGAAATTGGTCAATTTGTAACATTTTTTCAGATCCCACATGAGTCTGATGACTTTTGGAGAGATCGCAGGTATGGTCTCGAACTATTGACCCCGAGTTCTGCCGTGTCACCAGCCTTCACGGCAGGCCCCTGGCCTCCAGGCCCCCACTCTCACCTGTTTCCTGCGGTTCTGTTGTACCAACGCGGGCCTGTTGGCTGGCGAAAACCATGGGAAATCAATTCCATAACATGGTTAATGTTGACGGCATGAAGCTGGTAGTTGAAAAACACTTGGGATAAGAGCTACCAATTTACAAAGCAAGCATTTTACCGCCCGGAGAAATCGCTCAATTAAATGTCGATTAAGGTAATTGACTATTACGTAGTTCTCCAAAAGACCACAGGATGTCCTTGTTTGTGGATACAAGACACCCTACCGTAGCCTGAAATCCAGTCTTGTTAGCGTCAGTCGCTGGAAAACCATGGGAGGCTAATAACAAGGCTGGATTCCAGACTAACGCTATGGAAAGGGATGGGAACAACGTCTTTTCAGGCCTCCAGTAGCCTAGGCAAAACTATTCCCATGTCTAAAGTCGAGAAGACGTTCGGTGTTCCAATTGCCCAGAGGGCAACGTAGAATACACACAAACACACCTCCCACTAACTGACAACATTACTTGTTGGTCCCGATAAGGACTAACAGGGACAGACTAAGCACCTGAAGCTGTGTAAGCCGAGCAACAGGAATATAACTCCCGAGGATAGCGTTACAAGGATTAATGTCAGACAGGTGCAACAATATGCCACTTCTAATTCAACGTCAAGTGTAGTAAGTATCGTTTGGTAAGGCTGGTTAGGCTATCACAGACGCACAGTGGTCTCGCCTTTGCCTTTGCCATAGCAACACAATGGCCGAATGATGGCAGGTCAAATTGAGTAACACAGGGAGCAGATGTGGATGTAAGTTGAGCCCGCTGGGCTGCTCTGGGAGGAGAGGTTTCTGTAGGGCACTGCTTCTGGCGCGGTTTGCCAGTTCCAGCCACGACACGACCTAATAACTTACGACTTCTTGTGTTTGTCCTAAAAATACAACTGTAAGTTACTGACGGAGACATGCTCACAAATCAGGCAGTCTGGCTCTGACGGGTTAAAAAACACCGCACACGTCG